CTCCGTGTGGTCGTTCATTGAAAGAGTATTCTTTATTCGCAATCCTTTTGGTGTGATTCCGTTGGTTTTACATTTCTTAAGGAAAATGATGTTATTGTTCATCTGTAGGATTTTTTGAAGAGTTTTTTTTAGTCTTATTCTCTTAGTCTGGTCGTGACATCCACTCCGTTGTGGTTCATTATTTCTGATTTGACTACTTTCCATCCTAAAATCTTTGTGTTCTCATACAGTTTTCGAAGTTAGAAGGTAATTAAGTCAATTAAAATAACATAGGGAAAGTAAATGCAGCGACCACGCCATCTAGTTCGTAGTGAACTTGCGTGACAAGGAGGCAGTGTGTTCGCCTCCATTCCATCATACATAGCCATAAGGAGAGAGTAGTCACGGAAAAAGTGTGATCCCATTAATTTTGTAACTGCATTGGTCTGGAATCACCGTGCAAATAATGTGTATAATTGATTGATACATATGTGACTGCCTCTGTGTAATAAATTGGTGCTATAAGTGAAAGTCCTGGCCTTGTATAAGCGGGTTCATTTTAAAGTCATCAGTTTAAAGGAAAATAAGTTGTTATCATCTCCCCATCATCTCCTCGTCATCTCGAACCGTAGCACATCATAGTCAACTATGGCGCTCCCTTATCCTCGGGTAGAGAATATTGGAGCAACCCAGTTAGTGAAGCTTTGCGATATCAAAAATATTACCAGGATTTGTACATAGTAATATATGTAATGTTTAATCCTATTACAATACTTGTATATCCTTCTTATATAATTTTAGTTAAAAAGATGTGCCCTCGGTGAGGCAAAATGTTCATTGTGCAAAAGGCCACAATAATTAAAACTAGTAATAATCCAAACAACTTCAAATCTCTCTTCTCAAATGACGGCCTTAAACGTATTTAATAACCCTGCCTGTTATATTTTTTTATGCGTGAAGAGCCAAAGCAAAGAATCTTTTTTTTTTTTACAAAAATCAGTGCTCCAATTCAATACATCTTACCTACTGGGCTAATTAAAAATGAATGTCACAAATGGACCCATTCAACTCACCAAAGTACGGTGAGGCTTAATTGAAATTATGCAACCAGTAAACATCCATCATCTAAATTATACATCGATGCACCGTATCAATCTAATTGATGGATGAAGGTTGTGGTCCGATCGGAATTCCCAACCTCTTACATATGTACAAAAATCACAAATACTTATCACTGTGTTTATTCAATCCATCAAACCATGTTAAGTTTCCTTATCATTGTTACGCACGTATGTACATAAAATAATCTCGATAGGAATTATTATACAACATAAAACAATTGACAAATTCAATTAAAATCTAAATTTGTCCCAACATCTGATACTACTTGAAAGATGGAATGTTGAATTCATGCATGTCTGAGCGTCTATTTAAACCGTGATCTAGTCCAGCAGTTCGTCACTATTGGATTCCTTCTCAAATTCTAGGCAGCATCCAGGTAATCGATTACTAAAGATGACGGCAATTCTTGCAATTCTTTTCGCAATCGGATTTGTGGCCATTTCCGCCACACCGGTGCAAGAAGTACGCTACATTTGGAGGCCATCTCAATGTCCCGAGGACCCCAAGATTATCCCTCCAGGAACATTTAATTTGACTTTGCACCCACTCTTTGATCAATTGAAATTCAATATTAGAGTACCAATTGATGTAATATGTAAAATAACATCAATAGAATATTAGAGTACCAATTGATGCAATTGAAAGAGTGAGGGGTAATGCTAGAAGGCGGATTTGTGCCTGTGGCGGGAATTCGTTTTTCCGAAGGGGTTAACGGTTCGTCCGGAATTTTGCGTATGCTAAAAAATGGAAATTCGTCGTGAGAGAAAAATTAAATTTGCTAACAAATCAAACACATCAAACTCGGGTCAACCGATCAGAAAAATAATTAGGATGAAATTCTCAAACGACACTATTCGCCGTGGGCCACGTCTGACAAAGATATTTGCATTTAAGAGGGAATTTTACAAATTTTACATTTTTCCAATTTACTACACGTTTTTCCCGCTTTGGAAGCAAATATCCCTGCCAAACGGCGCATTTGTGGGTAGTGTCAGTTGCATACTTCATACTAAGGTTGCAAAGATGCCAGCGGTCTCGCTCCGATTTTAACGAAACCAGGCTAATGTTTTAGCCTTAGATAAATAATTCAACACGTGTTTCAGGAGTTTTCATAATGCAAAGTTTAAACGAAATTATGACGAAATCTACACGCGAGAATTTGCATTTTCACGAATCAAATTTTTCTCGCAAGGAAATTTCACGGTAAAAATGCAAATTCTTGCTCACGGATTCCCACATAATTTCGTTTAAGCTGATCAGTATGAAAAATCCTGAAACACGCGTTTAATTATTTATCCGACCCTGCATAAGAAATTCTCATGCACATTTTGCTCCTACAAAAATAGTCGCGTTAATTATTTGCCGCATTTAAGTGTGTCCTTTTTTGCCAATTACTTACCCTCGTCCGGGCGTAATTTCCACGCCAATTTTTCTTTTCTTTAAGGCGTGTGGAGTTATGCAAAATGCAGACTCCTCGTCGTCCGTGTCACTTTGTTGCAAGGGGTCCTTCATTCCCGTGGAGTAGGAGTCGCCATAGTCGAAGAAGAACTCGCTCTCGTCACTCGGGTCGTCGTCAAGGTCACTGGCGTCGTCTTCGTCATCGCCCTGCTCACTTTTGACCTCGTCGCCATCCTCTGCACAAAAGGTTGGGTTTGACTAATTGACAAAAAATTTGACTAACTTCTTATATCAAAAGAGCAACACGTGCTCTTTCTTTTAGCCCGAGTCAGGTTGTTCTTAATAATGAAGGTAGGTCGGCCGGTAGGAGCGACATGACCACATTTAGACTATTTTTCCCAGTTTTTGCACATCTTGATTCCTAATTCTACAAAATCAGCAAAATGTCAAGTCGCTTGGTACACAATAATTTTTACCGGCGCAATCGAGTCAGAACTAGGGTTGTATTTGTCCGTCATAAATGTCAAATGTCATAATCGTCAGACATTTTCAGAGCCATGGATGCCATAATTTTTAGAATATGCATTCGTTTGGATGACAATTTTAAAATTGATAAGAAACATAATTAGAATTGGGAATCATTCTGACTCTTGTACTATTTTTCCCAATTATAGCGCTTAAATTTAAGCGGGAGGATCTGAATGTCATATTTGTCGGACATTTGGAAATAATGTCAATGTCTGACATTTGTAACTAATGTCAATGTCAGACATTATTGACATTGACATTATTTACAAATGTCAGGCAGTTATAACATGACAAATATGTATGACTTAACATGAAATTTACTTCACGAAACCGACATCGTAACTTGTAGGTTAGCCCTGATTCGTGCTAAAAATGAGCACTCGCTCTAGTCCACTTCGTCACCTGCACTGTCGTCGTCACCATCCAGCTCAACTTTGACCTCGTAGTCGCCATCAATCCCGATAGGACTCTGCAAAAATATGTACCTTTTTAAATTCCCGAATACGTAAAATGACAAGAATTTTATGTATCGCTCGTCACGTCACCTGCGTCGTCGTCTTGCTCAACTTTGACTTCTTCGTGACCCAGCTCTGCACCCTCAATCTTAACGTCAACTTCTTCCTCCTCCTCCCCCATCATAAATCGTCTTCGTGGTATCTGCAAAATTCAAAAACATTTCTCAAAAAAACAATCACCTCGACCCAGAAATTATGAAGAATTTCGAGATTTTTCATGTATAAAAAAAATCCTCGAAATTTTGCTGCACACGGTTAAAGAATATAAAAAATGTTTCGAAATTCAGCAAACAACTTTCACAAAATAGCGCAATTTATTACACTCTTAATAATCCGGTAAGTCAGACAGGTAATGATTTCTCGGTAATAAATTTGGTAATAATATTTTACCAGGAAGTAAAAATTCGTTACAATGATGGTAAAACTTTATTACCAAGCCATTACCACACGGTACAACTTATCATTACCACTTTGGTAGAGTCATATACTTGTGCGTTTCGGTAATGTTTATTACCAGATTATTTAGTGTAGTAACAAATTAACTCTTGTCACCAGTAAATCTGAAATTATTGATTAACAACAGGATTAACTCGGAGTGTTTTCATTGTTTACAAAATAGCCGTAAACTTATAATTGCTTATTCCTTAATTGTTGTTATCGACGATGATTCATTAACTTTTTAAAAAAATAGACGATTTAACCAATCCAATCAGTGAACAATACAGACAGATCCGGCCATCAATTACAAGAAGTCGTGTCGGACTAAATAAACGACGCAGTTACAAAAGGGCCTTAATTTATTTGTCCTCTCAACTCACCTCAAATGTAGAATTAATTGTTTTCACTGCACTGGTAATTAAGTTAATCCAGCAAAAAAGGACAAAATAAGGAAAAAATGTGGAAGGAGGGGGCTCACTTTAATCTTTGAAGGGTCCAAATTCGGCCTTAATTTGTCAACGTTTCGACCTCCACGGTCTTCTTCAGGACGGCGAAGTGGTTACATGTCGGCGACTTGTGAGGGAGTGGGAAATAATCATTATTTCCCACTCCCTCACGAAATGCATGAAATGAATTGAATTAAATATGCATGAAATGCATGAAATGAAATGCATGAAATGAAATGCATGAAATGCATGAAATGGATGCAATGCATGAAATGGATGCAATGCATGAAATGGATGAAATGCATGAATTGAAATGCATGAAATGAATTGAATTAAATATGCATGAAATGCAAGGAATGAAATGCATGAAATGGATGAAATGAAGTGCATGAAATGCATGAAATAATACACAATAATGATGTTTTATAACACTAATTTATGTATATGAACATGAGATACCGGTAAAAATGATTAAGACTAATTAAATTATACATGTTGGAAAAAATGCACAAAGAAACAACTATTTAAATTTTGAAATACAAACCACCTTTTTACTCCCCGACAAATATTTTTCACCCAGGGGTGACAGTAGATAATAAAGAAGAAGTAATTTTGATATTTCTTTTCGATTCCGAATAAGTAATACACAGCAAAAATTTTGAAGTCCGTAACAAATACAGAGTAAAATACAAGGCCGTGCGGACTTGAAAGTGATTCCACGCTGTGCAGAGTAAACCGAGCAAATTTGCCAAAGCGTAACAGACTTTACCCTGAGCGAGTTGGTGGCTATCCCCACACAATTCATTGTGAAATGTTACTGTTGAAAATAAGGTTTGGAAATAATTTCATTGATCAACAAACACCTTTGATGTTGATGAATTTTTGCATAGTTTAAATAGCCAATATATTGGTATTATCGATAAAAGTAGTGCATTGGAAATTATGTTAGGTTGAAGTTTAAATTGTGAATTTGAAACACTGTATTAGCCAATATTAGTATGTACAGGGTGGTTTAAATGTCAGGCTACAATGGAGAATTTTTCAATGGGAAAAATTCATAAATTTCCATTAGTAGCGAACAGCTCAAAAAATTTGAAACCCACTTAATACATATTTAATTGACTATTTGTAGATATTCGTCAACACTGCTGTAGACTAATATGGTCAAATTCTTGTGATATTTTGTATATGTAAAAGCATTTCCATTATCTTAATTTAATTAGTTAAATCATTTGCAAGGTTCCGTCAATGTCCGAGCCAAAGTAATATAATCGGTGGGTTGTGTCGCAAGGTGACATTGAGCGAAATCTTGGGCCACTAAATATTATGTATTTTAGTTACGAAAAGAGAATGAAAAATTTAGCTGCGTTTCGTGAAGCGGCAAAGCAGCACTCAAAAAGTTGCATTTGAGACGGTAACCAAGTTGCACATTATAATTTAAATGAGCAACATATTCTATATTCTATTCCACATATATATGGATGCACCTCAAATGTCTCTCTCTTTGACTTGTATGGCGTTAAGGAAAAATCTATCAGAAGCAGAGAAAATACAACCCTCGAAGACGTTCATTATGAATTCAAAAATCCAGCAAATCCGGATAAAAAGGTGTACGCCATTTACGATGTGGTCCACATGCTAAAACTTTGGAGAAACCTGTTAGCCCAATGTGGTAAAATCAAGTTGTCCAATGGTGGAATAGTAGATTGGAAATTCATTCAAAAGCTCTACAGCTTGCAGGTATTAGAAATTGTGTATTATTTATTGTGGACTGTGGAAATTACCCTTTTTCTAACTTAAATCCGATTGTTGTAGAACTTCGAATAAATCAGAGCATGGAATAAACTCGGAAAGCTCCACATTCAGTTCGACAACCACAAGATGCGAGTCAAGTTAGCTGCACAAGCATTGAGCAAATCTGTTGCTGACGCGATTGTTTTTTGTCGCGAGGACCTCAAGCTAAGGGATTTTCAAGGCTCAGAAGCCACATCCGAGTTTATATACCTGTTGGATCAAGTGTTTGATATCCTGAACTCGAGAAGCCCAACTCAGAAAGGATTGAAGGCACCTTTGTCCAGGAACAATTTTAATTCTGCCGCTGCGATTCTTGACAAATTCACTAAAATTGTCCTGGGTATGACCTACACTGAAGTTAGGAGCTACGAGAAGACCAACAAGGTAGTTCAAACCACCAAGCAATTATGCCAAGGTCTAAGAAAACGTGCCGCGTTAGGACTAATCACTTCAATTCAATCTATTCGAGCAATTGCGAAGACTCTCCTGTATCGTGATGATGGCCCCTTCAGATACGTAATGACCTATCGATTTAGCCAAGATCCACTTGAGTTATTCTTCAACGTGGTTCGTGGAAAACTAGGGAACAACAACAACCCAACCACAATACAATTTCAACACATTATGAAGGTTATGTGGCATGTTAATCCCCTCAAGTCCTCCAAAACCGGTAATTGCATTGCACAGTGTATTGATGAGATCCTACCCGGAGGATTACTTAAGCTTGCACCTCCCCCGAAGAAAATTGTTGCATTAGAAGGTGACGAATTGCTTTAGATGGACGCTATCGGCATGAGTGCTTGTTTGAATGAAGAATACTCTGACTTTACCAAGAATTGCATTGCATATATAAGCGGAAACGTCGTTAGTGTTGTCTGTACGAAAACAACATGTGACATTTGCGCTGAAGCCCTTCTGGATACAGAAGAAGCCCAACTGGACGATCAAGTAAAGCTTCTCATCGTCCGAAAAGATCGAGGCGGTTTATTTACCCCATGCCAGACGGTCTACAAAATTTTGGAGAGGACAGATAAGATCTTTCGTAGAGTTGTCGCTGGATCTCGAGGTTCTCTTAATATCTCCATGCTGGATAAAAAATTTGTAACGTAGTTCTAACAGAATTTATTGGTTCCACAGTTTTCCCCAATGCTGCTGATCACTTTTCTTTTTTTGACTTATCGCCACCGTCTCACTTGACTAAAATTGTAACAGACATTGTTCACCATTATTTACGGATTAGATTGTTTGACCACGGAAAACGATATTTGCAAAATCCTTCTTGTCGTAGTAAATTAATGAAGCTAATTTTGTTCAATAATGTTTAAAGATCTAGTTTATGAATCTTGATTTTTCGATTTCTAAAATTTTCCCTTAATATAATGGAAATGTAGTATGGAAACCTTGGAATAAATAAATATATCTGCATTAAACCAACCATGTCCATAAACTTGTCAAATTGATATTCCTTAATATTAAAAATCTTGAAACAATATGTGTTATTTGCTTTTGCTTGTTTTGCCAATTTATTATTTAAAATGTCAATATTTTTTGAACAACGACTTTCTTTCAGGAATATGAATTCTAGTCCAAGTTGTCCCCTATGTCGCGACGGTCAGACATACGGCCAGTATAAGTTACACCGGGATTGCGTGTCTTGTGACAAAAGACGGAAGGAGATTGAGGCTGTTCGGGCCAGGTGGCGGGCCCAGTACCCCCTGATTCCCCCTCTCCCACCAGGTCCCCCCCCTGCTAACCCGCCCCTACCTCCAGGGCCACCCTCCAAAACTCCTCCCCCTCCAAAATGTCCATGCATTGCCCCCCCACCACCTTTTTTTACTTATTTCGAAAAGGAATAAATTATGAACAATGAATAGATTATAAATTATCAATTTTGTCTAATTGTTTTATTAACTGGCTCATTTTGTGATGTATTATGACAAGGCAATCATTATTGTACTCCTCATAGCTTTAAACTTTCATGTTCAAACCCTGCCAAATTTAGGTTACGTAATCGTGAACGGGCCCATTAAAAAACGACGAAATTAAAATTTGCAAAATTCTCGAGATTTTTGCAATTCGCAAAAAACGGCAAAATTTTTGCACCACTTTTTGCACATTGGAGAGCAGAATGAAATTACAGACCTTCAGATATATAATTTAAGAATACTCTATAAATTGCATTTTTTCCTTCCCAACCTGATGGCTATGTTAAAAGAATATGGAGAATTGCACGTTTTGGTGCAGCTCCCGCGAAAACGTGATTTTGCACAGTATGAGAAAGTGTTAGCTTCATTGAACTCTCTGTCGATTAAGACTATTCCGAAGGAAATCGAGATGGGACAGTGGTTGAGGTTCCCTTGTTAGCCAAACTATTGACGCATGGCCGCAAGTATGCAAATAATGTACTTATTAATTAAATCCTTCTGGCACTAAATAAATCATGCATCATAAGAAACAAATTACCGACAAATTTTGCATTTGGCGATAATCATCACATAACTTCAGGCGTAAATCTCTAAAATGTTTGAGTAAATAGGAATAATTGTATGTACTATGTTGGGTGACCAGACTATTCATTAATAGAGACAGCCAAGCCAGCGGCGGTAGCACATGAAAGGCTAATTGCCGACAAAAAAATAGGAATATCTAAAGTATCTCAACTTTTATAAATTTTAGAATGACTCTTATTAGGGAAACTTCCGAGGTGCCCATCGAATTCAGGGTTCCCATGTATACACAAATTAGCACAATATACGACTTGTGATGTAAAGTGAGGGAATTTACTTGCAAAAATCACCATTCGTCAAGTTGTGACGATATTTGTGACGAGCGTTGGACAGTGGGGGCGAAGAGGAGGAGTGAATGAAGCGATGGAGAGTTCGTTGACCTTCACAAGGCGCAAGTAGTGACTCGTTCAATCCCTCCTCACTCATTATTCGTCACAACTTGACGAATAATGATTTTTGAAAATTCTTTCACTTTAGATCGTAAGTTGTATATTGTGCTAATTTTGCTATACGTGGGAACCCTGGATTCGACGGGCACCTCGGAAGTTTGTAAGAACAAATAATTTCTAACATAGTTCTCCAGAAGTTTTACTTTATGCCACCGTAACCCTGGAGAGTTTATGATTTTTCCTTTTTCTCAAAACCAAAAGATTCATTCCATCCACTCCGCACGTCATGGTGCGATCCTGAAAGGCAAATGTGAGCAGCAACATTCGCGCCACTTTGTCCCCCACGATGCTCTCAATTTGCGAATAATTCGCCTGGATTTTTTCCAGCACTGTGGACACCGACTTGGCCGCGTGCGCCGCGAAGGACTGCAGCTCGGCCAACTCAAATCCGGAATCGTCCGTGTATTTGAGCAGCTCTCTCAAGCTGGGGACGTAACTCGGGCCGTACATGTATTTACAGGCGAATTCCAAAATTCTGGGGAAATCCTCAGGAGTCTCGTAACACTGAATGAAACATTTGCCGTCTGGAAAAATAATGGAAAAGATTTTTTTAATTTGTGCTGGAAACCATAAAATTTGAGGTACATACATAAAGTAAGGACAAAAATCCGTCAATTTAATTTTGAAGCATTTCTTTGACTCTCAGATAAATTTATAAATTGCAAGGAAATACAAAAAATTTAAAGTTTCCGTCGGCTGGTCTATAACTCTCTGACAGCTTATTTAAGTAAGAGTCGTCGTAGAAAAGCTGGGAAAACATTGTTAATTTTTTATTTCGTTGGAATTCATCCCAAATTATCTTTTAAATGCTCAAAACTTTAAGTTTGCAACAAGTTGATGATTTTTGTACGGCCAACCCATTTTTAACTCATTTAAAACTCATGTCGAACACTAAGACTGATGATAGTCCGAAAAGACTTGGTTATGCAGAAATCTAAAGAGTTTAAATTTTTTGTGTACATACGCTGTAAATAAAGTTTAGTAGCATTGCTACCAAAACAACTGTTGAGTAAAATTTACCCTGACAAAAGTAAAATTTACTCCAGCTTGAGCAATCTTTCAAAAGCAAAAAATCTTTCAAAGTTGGACAAGTTTTAACTTTTTTGAGTAACTTTTACTAAATAGTTGTGTTAGTTAGTTGCAATTTTACTCCACATGGAGAAAATTTTAATCAAATTTATTTACCCACCGTCTTTTAACATGGCGGCCACCTTGTCAAAAAACTTTGTTAGATTCCTCTTCCCAACATGTTCGACCATCTCGATCATAATGATGCGATCGAAAGTTCCCTGAATTTCACTCCAATCCCCGACCACAATTTTTGCCCCGCTTCCGCGACAATGTTCCTTTGCAGCTTGTCCCATTCCCGGCGAGTTTGTGACCCCGACGACCTATAATTGATTTTTGACGAATTAATTTATCATTGAGGGTGGTCAATTCGATTTCGCAGGTAGCAACGTTCGCAAAAAAATAAAGTTCGCAAGTTCCCAAAAAATTGTTCTTGAAAATTGATGCGAACTTGCGCATCTCCATAAAAATATTTACTTGGCAAAATATTTTTCACAAATATGCTAAATTTTGTAATAGGAAAAATTCATCAATTTCCATTAGTTTCCGAAGCTTTGAGGTTTTTGAAATTTCTTATTTGCCAAAGTTTAAACGCTAAACTTGGGGAACTATAGTTCCCCAATTGTTGCACGGGAAAAAAATCGTAAATTTCCATTATAATGGAAATTTACGATTTCTTTCCCGTGCAATAATCGGGTCATTTGGAAGAAATTTTCCAAACTTTGTCATTTGCGAAGTCTCTTCATTTCATTGCTTCGCAAAATTCATTTCGAAAAAGTTATGTTGCGATGCGAACATGCGAACTCGTAATCAATACCCTCATTATTTCTAAAACTTTAGATTTCTTAAAAATAACACCTCAACTTGGTAATTGTCGGCCAGATGTTTCGCCACGGCTCCGAAACCACAACCGATGTCCAGAACACGCATGCCTGGCACGAGCGGGGCAAGTTTGGACGTTATGAGGGAGAGTTTAAGGTTTTGAGCGGTACCGATGGACTCACTTCCGGTGGGAAAGTAGACGACTGACATTTGGATGGCTTCATGTTCACCTCCGTCCGTCAGGATTAATCGGTGATAGTCAGTGGCTGGAATTTTAGTAGAATAAATCAAAATTTTATGCATAAAAATGACTGACTTTTCGTGCATAAAAAACTATGCATACATAGTGCATTATGCATGCACAAAAGCTGACATCGGAGATTTCACAATCACCCTACCGGAGTGCACCCATCGACTATGAACTTCCCGTATCGGGTCGTTATGTCATAATTGTGCTGCCATTTAACCCTTTGACGAGTATCATTGATTACAAGAAAATGCATTAATTCGGGGACGTAACGAGTATGCTGTGGTCATGGTGTGAGAGGAGAAATTCAAGGGCTTTAATGGTTAGGTCAGGTTAGGTTCAAAACTCGAGAAAACTGAAAACTTTAACCCTGCGTTAAATAGGGAAATATCCAACTTTTCGGCAGAGGTGGGCAATATACATGTATATTAAATATACAAGTATATTATATACGTATATAATATACTTTTTTTATATTTTATATTGTATATTAAAAAACTTGGAAAAAAGTATATTGTATATTGTATATTGGACAAAAAACTGTCCAGTAAATATACAATATACAATTAGGTATAAAATACATGGCGAATGACCAGAATGCATATTTTCAAGTTGTGCTGGGTTATATATTAAACGTCGAAATTATAAAATCGTTATATCCATTTGCGGGTGCTCTAATAATGAGTAAATCAGGCTTCCTTGTTCCTTATGTATATAGTTCAACACATCTAAAAAAATATAAATAATTCTTAGCTAAAAATTCGGGTCAGTACGCAAAAAACACCGATTTTTGACTACAAAATGAAAAAGTGCTCCCATTTCCAAATCTATAAATTCAAGGTCCTCAAACCTGTATAATGATTCCGCTGTGAAAGAGGGAGCACTTTTTATTTTGAGACAATTTTTAAATTAGCGATTTTTTATAGTGGTCCGAGTTTTGAAGTAAAGTTATTTTTATTTAGTAGATGTGCTGAATCCATATTAGGGTTACCAGACGTCCCGGTTTTTGTACACCTGTCCCGGCGTCCCGAAAATGTCCCGGTTTTTAAAATCTTTTTAAATTCAAAAATTAAATTATCTCACTTTTTTCGCCAAAATATTATATGAAAAAGTAGATTTTAGCTTATGAGCTAAAATACCAGCGACGTGCATCAAATATTTACTCCCATTCCTGCAGATTTCTCGCCAAGCATTGGATATTATTGACAAATTTTTCGCTAAGCTATAGATCAGGGATGCAAATTTCACATCACAGAGGCATAAATCACATCACACTGTGATTTACTGTGATTTAATGTGATTTCTGTGATTTCTGTGATTTTTGTGATTTTCACAAGTATGGATTAACTAAAGCGTGAGACAAGGCATTGTCACCCGCCGAATTTCAAATACATGCATACATTCTTATTCAACGGTGAACAGAAGTTCCACTTCGTTTTTTTTGGACGATTTTGGATATTTCTTAACATTTGAAATTATTTAAGGACTTTACCAGTGGCACAAAAGTCCTACATTGGCACAAACGTCCACAAAAAAGTGGGACGTAACTTTAAACGTAGCTCAAAATGTCATTTTCCGGCTTCAGACTTGGGCTTGTTGCGAATTCTCAAGAGGAGGAAATTTCGAAAATGAGTATGGAGTGTTTTATTTACTCGTATTTTGTTTTTGTATTTCATATACTCCGCTCCACCGGGGCTATTTATCATCATGAAATCACAATCACATTAAATCACACAAAAATCACAGACTGTGATTTTCACAGTCGCATCCCTGCTATAGATATTGTGGACAATTTTTTTTGCCTAAAATGGCCAGGTTTTAGTCAGGTCAATTATGGTCATCCTAATTCGTGTTACAAAAAAATGTTGAAGGAACATGCCTCGAACACCCATTTTAAGAAAGCCCGGCGTCCACATTTTCATATTAACTAATTTTCACAATATTTTTCATTTTTTAACGTTTTTCAATTAAAATTTCTTAGGTGTAATTGCATCCCTAAGTGTTTAATTGGCATAATTGGTAATATTTAGGTTTAATAGGTAATGTGCAATTTGTTAGAAAAAATGGCCTCTCCATTGATACAAGAAACCCGGAAACCTTCCTGACTCTTAAGTTATCCAAATGTGAATATCTAACGATAAGTGAGAATTCAATTTTTAATTTTGTGCTGGCGGCTTTTACCAGCCGCCGCCTTAAAAAATGTTAAGGTTCAATGAAAAATTTTGAACTGACAACACTAAATTACACTTTTTATCTGATTTTCTGCAAAGTATATTGGAATTGTATATTGAATATACATGTATAGTATATTGAAACTAAAATAATGTATATTATATACGTATATTTGTATATTGTATATTTCAATTTTGTTGTATATTATATATAGTATAGTATATTGAGACGAAAATTTGAGTATATTGGCAAAGTATATTCAATATACATTTTGATGTATATTGCCCACCTCTGCTTTTCGGTAAGAAAATTTTCAAATTTAACACTTGGTTGGCACACGAGAATTCTGTTAAATTCCAAGAAATTTTACTCCGCGGAGAGAAAATTGTGAAAATCAGGGACCTTCCAGATACCACAATTGTCCTACTCCCGCACCACGACCAGGATTTTTCAGGACGACTTTTGCCCTACTCCCGAATTAAGCCATTGCTTCCAAAATGGCAATTGTCTTATTTACATGTTGAAAAGTTACATAACTTGACTTACGAAGATTATACTGCAGTTTAAGGTTTTTGGGTAGATGTTCCATATTCCGTTGTGGGTTGAGGAGGACCCATCTCACATAGGCTTCGAGATAAGGCAAGCTTCTTTTGTAGGACTTTGACCCCTCCGTGATGCCCGCCGTGTCCATGAGGCGATCGCAGAGACCCGGGAGGTCCCCGCAGTCCCACCAACCTAATAATATAATAGTAATAATATTTCATAATAACTGATTTATATGAGCATGACATACCCGTAAAAATAATCAGGACTAATTAAATTATACATGTTGGAAAAGATGCAGAAAAAAATCAACTAAATTTTGAAATACAAACCAATTTTTGACAATTTTCCCCGACCAAGGTAGAGAACGAAGCTAAAGTCACATGGTAATACTAATTTTATAAAACAAATAAATATTTTTTACTCGCTGAGGTGACAGTAGAATTAAAAAGAAGAAGTAATTTCGATATTTCGATTCGACTTCGAATAAGTAATAAAGATAATCAATAAGTACAGATTAAAATTTAGCCCAACCTTCGACGAAACCTTCGCCCAAAGCGACGTCTCCATAGGCACAAAGTCGCGCGTAGAATTTATTATTCGTCACAATGACTGTGATCGCTTCAGCTTGATCACTTTTACTCGAAGGGTTTAATAAGACGCCTTTTCCGTGGAGGAATCGTCTCGCGCCGTAAACCAGCAGAGGCGTGAAAAGTAGGAAAAAGAGGTAGCGAAGAAATCTAAACGTTTCGATGAGTCCTTCAATTGTGTAGACGCAGAACGTCTTAAAGCAGGACATCTTGTTGCGAGAAGGATAATAAATGGACTGAGGTGTGTTCGTATATTTCTTGTATACCAACTCAATTGTGCGCATGTATGTAGAAATAGGTTTGCTACGAAACTAGGGTTCCACATATGTCATGTCATATTTGTCCGTCATAAATGTCATAATTGTCACACATCTATCGCGTCAATGTCAGACATGACAAATTGACAAATACGAAAAATGACGTGACATTCACGACATTATCAGAGGCATAGATTTTTTGTACTGAATTAATTTTTAACACATTTTCAAAATACACATTTGTTTGGATGACAAATTTAAATTTGACGAGAGATCTAATTAAAATATAAAATCTTTTTTACGACTGTTGTATTATTTACGCAAATTATAGCACTTAAACTCAAGCTGGAGGGTCTGACCGGCATAATTGTCATGTCATAAATGTTATATTTTTCAGACATTTATAAATAAGGTCAATGTCAGACATGTAGGACCATTATGATATGACACGATATTTATTTTATGACACCGAGATTGTAGAACCCTATACGAGAGAAACACGTACATAGACACGCATGGAAATATTACGGCATCGAAAATTCTAGATTTTAGCACTCACACACCCATCCAGACGGGATAGGAAATTTTAACATGGGAAAGACAACAAGAACTGAACAACCAACCGGCTAAAATAAAATGATGCCGTAATATATGGAGGTTCCCTCATCTCACCAGGGTTCGGAAAACCCCTGGAATTTTCTAGAAAACCCCAACCCCGGGGGTTTTTCCGGGGTTCTTGGGGTTTTTGTGGGTTTTTGGGTTTTTGTGGGTTTTTGTAGATTTTGGGGGGGGGGGCTGAGGCAAAATTCCTAAAATTACATATTAGAGTAAAACCAATTAATTATTCGAAATCAACAAAGAGTTTTCAGAACTTTAATTAACTTTGATTATTAAGTCAAGAGTTCATGTTTAACAAGCAAAACAGAAATAAAGCCAGGAATATGCAATGAAACTTGGAAATGCAAGTCGCACATAAAAGTACTCAGAATTTCCACAATCCGAAAATGAAATTTAAATTGGTTTAAGTTCTAGTTTCAAGAATCTTGTTTCAATCTGCCCCAAAATTTTACAAAAACCCAGGAAAAACCCACAAAAGCATGAAAAAACCCGCAAAAACCCCATTAAGCATTAGGGTTTTTCCGGACATTCAAAAACCCATAAAAACCCCAAAAACCCCAACCCACAAAAACCCGGGGTAGCGAACCCTGCATCTGCGGGATGAATAAATTTAGTTTTCTGTTTATTTCCTTGAATGCTTCTTGGAAAACATTACTATGTATGTAGTTTGTATTATAAATTGTACATATGTTTGTTAGTATGGCACGTGTGTTTACATTGTAGCTGGAGTAGTTGATTCAATATTTATTTTTTTATTTTCACATTATAATTGCATACACGTCATCACGTTGCACACAGGAAGAACTGACTACAAAGGAATCGTACGTTAAAAAACCTTAACCTTAAAAATGCTCGTACAAGTCTTGGAGTACTTTTAATATGACATACTTTAGCACGAAATACTTATAAACGCCCAATATACTCATGACAACTACCCAATTTAAGAATTTACACAGTGCTGTGATCTGGTTTGTAAAGAGTTTGTAAAAGAGTTTGTCGTGAACTGGAGTACACGTTATTCCACTTGCATACAAGATGGTCACTTCACTTGAATGTGTTCAAATTCACGTGAATAGCATGTTAAATTTTATTAGTACTTCCTGGCTTGGAAACCGGTTTAATTTTTTGCCCCAACCCTTTTACTTTGCAATTTACATGCTCAAAATTTTGCACGTGTCTGTCAAGGAGAATAATGTAAAATTTTTATAAATTCATTTCAATAAAGATAAGAATTTATTTAAAAATTAAATAAATTAAATAAAAAAATTAAATAAAAAAATATGCATAAATATGCCTATTTATTCATACGTATCCTTTGAAACATTTTAGTTTCGCATAATTTTCTCGCAGGTGAGGTCAGCGTTGACAGCAACCACGACGCTGACGCGGTGAAAATTTAATTTTTGAACAAATATTAATTAGAAATTTGGTCTAATTTCGAAATTTAGTTTCCATTTTCCTACGATGACGAGACATTTACTCGAAGTAAAATTTATGGAAATATTTCAATTTGTCACTTTTCTTGCTTTTGTCACAAATAATCAACCTTTATCGCAAATATATTTATTGTGAATCCACTAATCTAGATGCTGTACTTAAAAACTCTAGGATTCCCCATTCACTACATTCGTACAACATTGGCAGGGTTCCAAAATGACCACTCAATGACCTATGATTATGTAATTACTAGGCTGTACACTGTAAATAATCTGGTAATAAACATTACCGAAAAGCACAAGTATATGACTCTACCAAAGTGGTAATGATAAGTTGTACAGTGTGGTAATAAAGTTTTACCATCATGGTAACGAATTGCCTGGTAAAACATTATTACCAAATTTATTACGGAGAAATCATTATATGCATGACTTGACCGGATTATTATGAGTGTAGTTTGTAAATTTCTTCATGATTAAATCCACGTAATAAATTATTAAGTTTTCCTACGAGACAAACAGGTATGCACTGATAAAGCGATAAAGCCTGACAATAAAATCAGTAAAAAAAATTATTACCAGGTCACGGAAATCAAGACTATTTAACCCCCAAGGCCGTACAAATCTAACCTTTTCAACTGTAATTGCGTCCAATACATATTTATGTACTTTATGCACAGTAGGCCAATTTTGTATGTCAAAATAAATACTTGTTTAAACAGTGTGTCCAAAGTCTTTATACTATAACTTTGTCTCCATAAAATAAAACTTGCCGACTGAAAATTTGCAATAAAATTGAACAAACAGGTTTGTCTTGGAAGGATTTATCTATGTAGAGAAGTCAAGTGAAAACTTGTTTTAGCAAAAAGAACAACAAATGTATGCATAACTACACTGTAAATAATCTGGTACTAAACATTACCGAAAAGCACAAGTATGTGACTCTACCAAAGTGGTAATGATACGTTGTACCGTGTCGTAATGGCCTGGTAATAAAGTTTTACCAGCATGGTAGCGAATTTTTACTACCTGGTAAAATATTATTGCCAAATTTATTGCCGAAAAATCTTTACCTGACTGACTTTATTGGATTATTAAGAGTGTAGGGTCATGTTTAGCTTTGTGTTACACCTGCGTTTTCAATGAGTTGAAACTAAGCTGGTCTTAAATGCGGGACAAAAATCGTCAACTTGTGCGAAACTAAAGTTCTCAGGATTCTCGGACTCTAAAATAATTTTGGGGTGAAATCGTATGAATTCGAAAGAAATAAGAAGTTGATAATTTTTTGGAAGTTTGTATCTCATGTCAATTTATACTATTTCATCCTAAATTTCTCTGAGCGTAAAAAAATTGTTTGAAAATTAAATTTAGCACAAGTTGACGACTGTTTGCTCTGAATTTAAAGCCAATTCAGTTTAAAAATACTTTTTTTAGTTAGATTCAAAATAATTTTATACACTCTTAGTAAAACGATATTGAATCATCACCAAACGGGGAGCCCACATGACTTTACCAAATTGTGACAATGTTTTACCCCACATTGTGATAAATCATCCCCACAATGTGTTAAGTCCTCACTGTCTATTGTTACGTTTACACATTGTGGGGATGATTTATCACAATGTGGGGTAAAACATTGTCACAATTTGGTAAAGTCATGTGGGCTCCTCGTTTTGTTAAGAGTGTACCTACCATTATTACATACATATTTTTCAACAACATTTAGAAACCGTTTTACATGAAGAAAGTATTTCAATTTTTCAACTATTTGATTCAGATCTCTATTTGCAACACATGTGTAACAATTTAATATGTGCTTCACAATTACACTTTATACTATTTGTGCCATCTTGACCAATGAAATTGTACACGGTCAGAAAATAAGTCGTGACGTGAATAAAATAAAATTCCTACTCTACCCCTTTGCCTCGTAAGGACTGACAAGATTCATTTGCTTTGTGGTTAGGGTGACCACACGTCCCGGTTTGGCCGAGATATCTGGCAACCATATTTGTCCGGACTAAAACCTGGACATTCTTGGAATAAAAAAATTCTTTATAATATCTAGTTCTTTGCGAAAAAATTGCCAATAATGTCAAGTCCTCGGCGATTCAGATATCGCTGAATTTTGAGTCAGGAAAGGTAATTCAGTAAATATCACCTGCACGTTACTGATATTAGTATGTTAAAATCCACTTGTTATACAATGTTTTGACTAAACAGTAAGATAATTTAAATTTTCCCTAGGATTTTAGAAACCAGGAGACTTTATGAAAACCGGGACATCTTCGGGACGCCGGGACAGGTCTTGAAAACCGGGATATGTCCTGGCTAAACATGGACGGGTGGTAACCCTACCGGGACATGTACCGCTTTTCAAAACATGTCCAGGCGTCCCGAAAATGTCCCGGTTTTCATAAAGTGTCCCGGTTTCTAAAATCCTAGGGAAGATTTAAATTATCTCACTGTTTAGCCAAAATATTGATGAAAAAGGAGAATTTAGCACATAAATTCCAGTAACGTGCATAATGTTATATTTACTTAATTTTATTTCCTGGCTTTTTCTCAAAATTCAGTGATATCAGAATCGCCAAGCAGTTGATGTTATGGACAAATTTTTCGCCAAGCACTAGACATGGAAATTTTTTGTCGGAAAATGTCCCGGTTTTAGGCAGGACAAATATATGTATATAGTCACCCTATATATATGAAAATATTAAACAACAAAATTTCTGCAGTGATGTGACCTCCTGTGAGGAAATAAAATTCAACGATAGCTTGAGTCTGGCCTCCAGTTCGTTCCGTCCCAACACTCTGACGGTTTTTGTCGTACATGGATTCGGTCAAGACCCGTTTTACTACATCTACAAGGTTAAAGATGGTAAATATTTATTTATGTTAGGTTAATTTATGGCTAATTTTATGCATAATTTGTTCATGCAGCATATCTCCACGCTAATCTTTCTCTCAACGTGATCATGGTGGACTATGGAGACTTGACTAAATTTAACGAAACGTCAGTACTCAGCGTGGTTTCGGCGTATGTACAATCAGGGAGAACGTTCCCCGGGTGGGGGCTAGAATTGCGGAATTTATAAGTTTCCTCATTCAAAGTAACGTTTTGTCGTTGAATTTGGTCCACATGGTGGCTCATTCGATGGGATGCCATGTATCCGGGGAGGCGGGGAATCATAGCAAAAAATTATATGGGGGGCAACCAATTGCCAGAATTACGGGTAAGTTGGGGAAAAATATGTTTATTTAGTGGTCATCCTCTAATATGCAGGGCTCGCTACCCGGGTTTTTTAAGGGTTGGGGTTTTTGGAGTTTTTGTGGGTTTCTGGGGTCTCAAATGTCCTAAAAATCCTTTATGCTTGATAGGGTTTTTGCGGGTTTTTGCATGTTTTTGTGGGTTTTTGTAAGATTTTGGGGCAGATTAAAACAAGATTCTTTAAACTACAGCTTCAATGAATGAAAATTTAATTTTGGGATTCAGCATGATATTTTGAGCACTTTTATGTTGTGGGGACGGTCTCAATGCACGCTCCGTCCCCACTTATGCAACGATGCCCAGCCAATCCAGGCACCCGGCTGAACCAGCCGCCCTCCTACTCCCCCGAAGCGGTGGAAGGAACACAGCGAAACCACCGGTTTCGGAACCCCGCCATGACTCCTTCCTCGCCTCCTCGCCGCTCCAGAAGTCAGTCGTCGCCATACACGCAAGGGAGCTCCACGTACTTTGCAACGGCTCAGTCCAGCCAGAAGCTCCTTCGCGACGGACTCACCTCCGACATACAAATTTAGAGTGTATCCTTATATAATTTAAAATAAGAAAATTAGTGCCCTGTTTGCACAAAAAACTATAATTTAGAATAAAAGCCTAGGGTTTTGTTTGTTTAAAAACTGAACGGTGTTTATGGTGGGACAGTTATTAAAACGGGTATTCGTGAATCTTGGACCCGACCTTGCAATCGCATAAAACGACGATCCATCCTCCCGCATCCAAGTCGTCGTTGTCGCCAGAGTTGTGGATCGGACTAGCAATCCATCCGGATAGCTAGCGACGGACGTTCATCCACTCATCCATTAATTATAAGAGAAGGAAGGAAGGAAGAGGCAGTGGAGTGGAGAGTTTCCCCCCATCCCCAAAGGAACCTCAACCAACCCCACACGTCCTCAACTTTAACTTCCCTTCAATGTGCGACTTATATTTCAAGTTATCATTACATACTTTTGGTTTGTATTTGTATTTCTTGTATCCTTGTATTTCTGATTTACTTGTTACTCATAAACTTTTGACTTAAAAATCCAAGTCAATGAAAATTCCGAAAATTTTATACTGAAGGTAAATATTGAATTAGTTTTCGTTTAATATGTAATTTTAGGAATTTTGTTTCAACCAGCCCCATAATCCACAGAAACCCACAAAAATCCGCGAAAACCCAAAATCCCACAAAAATCCCACAAACCCCGAAAAAACCTACCCTGCCCCGAAAAAACCTACCTTGAGTTTTCCTAGGTGAACCTAGAAGAACTCCGGGGTTTTCCGAACCCTGTGCATACATATCAAGTAATTGATCGCTAATCCATATTTGAAAACACACCAGGACTTGACCCAGCCGGGCCTTTGTTTGAAGGGCCGATAAGTTTTCGCGCGCTGACGAAATTTGATGCTGCATTTGTAGATGTCATTCACACCAACCTTTTCGGCTACGGGACAACATTGGTGGATGGTGTAGCAAATTTTTATGGTACGTCAGTAAGCTTGACTAATAATCCATGAGGTTAACCCTTTAACCAGTATCATTGACTACAAGAAAATGCATTAATTCGGGGAAGTTATAAGTCTGTCGCGGTCATGGTGTGGTAGAAGAAATTCAAGAGTTTTAATAAAACTAGAAAAAAATGAAAATTCAAAAATTTAACATCGTTAGATAGGGAAATATACGCACTTTTGGTAAGAAAATGTTCAAATTTAATATTTGGTTGGCATAAGAGAAATCCCCTAAATTCCAACAGATTTTACTCCGCGGAGAGAAAAATGTGAAAATGGATGACCTTCCAGAAAAGACAATCGTCTTCCTCCCGCACCATGACCACGATTTTTCAGAACGATTTTTGTCTTACTCCCGAATTAAACCATTTCTTCCAAAACGACTATTGTTTCTTATTTATATTTTAATGGGTTTTTGACCCATTTTTGACCCATTTTAATGGGTCGTTTTTAAGGTCTTCTTGTATGAATTTCTAGTTTTAAATAATTTGTAACCTTAAATAATGAGATAAGTAATTGGCGCAAATAAAACTAAATAGTATTGCCTGTTTGTATCTAGCGAATGGCGGGATATCTCAACCTGGATGTCCAGATGGCCTCATTGGCACGTGCAGTCATGGATATTCCGTCGATTTATACGCTGCGATACGCTGCGCTGTATACGAAATCGAATTGCTTAAATCCCTGCCAAAATCCGACCTACGTCGGGCCCTATTGTTCATCTGACAAGGGAAGGTTCCCGACTGCTTCTCGAGTTCAGGGTACCCACTATGTTTTTTAGAATCTACTAGGATCCTAGATGAAGGATTCATACATATTTCCGTGTAAAACTCATATTCGGCGCCGTGGCGTGGCGCTAAACTTAAAAATTTGGATTTTCTACCAATTTCAAACCTCCATAACTTTTGCAGTTTCCGAGGGATTTTCAAAATCTTGGGCTTAAAATGATCACAAAATTCGAAATTTTAAGAAACAAATAAAAAACAAAAATATTTTTATTATTGAAAAAATTTTCGGCCAACCCCTACGTTTCAGAAATTTGGAAAGTTTGCAAAATTTTGAAAACTTAAATTTTTTGAAAAGCTTCATGGAAATCGAAGGTTGCACCACTTGCGATGATTTTGATCAAAATTTTTTGAAAATCCGTCCAGGATTTGGCGAATGTGGCGCCACGCCACGGCGCCAAATATGAGTTTTACACGGAAACAAGAATGAATCCTTCACCTAGGGTCCTGGTAGATTCTAAAAAACATAGTGTGCACCCTGAACTCGAGAAGCAGTCGGGAACCTTCCCTTGTGAGTGAGTTCAGAACTGATATTACAAAAAATTAGGGTAAATAGTAGACGAGCCTACACTCTTAGAAAACTGGTACTAAATCATTACCGACCGGAGTACATATGTGACTCTACCGGCACTGGTACTAACGGGAATTACCGATCAGTAATGTTGCGGTAATGAAAACTTTACCACTCAGGAACAAGTTACTACCAATCCGGTAGGAAGTTGTTACCAAATCAACACCAGCACGGAGTATCTATGTGACTCTACCAGATTTTTAACAGTGTACACTCCAAGAAGTTGTATTACCACGCGGTATACATTTGTGACTCTACCGTGCCGATAGTCGCACCATTACCGTAGGCCAATCTTTACTTCGGCAAAAAATGCACGCACACGAGGTAAAAAAACTGGTATGTGGTATGAGACTTAATCCTGACTTGGAGGAATTGAGGCACCAGGCTGGTAACTTTGGCTAGAACTCGGTAGAAGAAATGGTAGTGGAGCTAAATATACTACGGCTAATGGTAACATCTAATGTTACCAGACACCCGGTAATACACGATGTTAGGATTATATTACCGGATTTTTAAGAGTTTAGAAAACCTGAACAAAATATTTTTCTGCAATGGATTTTTATATTTTCATGGAAGTAATTCTGAACAAAAATTGAATTTAATTTTTGAAATCGGGCTAAAATTCGAAAAGTTACAGCGCGTTTAAAAATCCAGATTTTGGCTTAATTTTTTTCAAATTTCGCCACGGGCGTAAACATACCCATTCAAGAAAACGAAAAAATAAGGGTGGGCTTATTTCGGAGCGTGAATAATTTAAAATTAGTGTGGTCCACATTGGCGATAACTACCTCAAACCTCCTCCTTGTTAGAAGATCAGTAATTCAACATTTTCAAATCTTGCTTTCCAGGGCAAAAGGGAAATTTTACGTTCAAACGCCAAAATTAAATATGACTTGTGAATGCAGTTTTGGTTTTGATAAGATCGTCGGTAAGGAAATGTAAATACGAGAAAACGATGGAGATATTATAAGGGTACTCATCTAATTTTGTTCTAATTGTAGGTTCCAGTGGTTGAGAGGGGTCCGATCCTGGATGAAAATCGTATGCGGAATTTGACATAACTCTACACAAGTGGCGGAAACACGAAAAAGAATTTTACACTTCGGAACTGAATTCTGTTCAGGTCAATTTTTATTGAACACTCGACGACCGGTTTCGTAATTCTTCATCAGGTCGTGTGCTAATACAAATTAAAGTATAAATAAATAAGACTAATTAAATTGAACATGAATGTAATTATATAACAGCTAAGAAATTATTATTTTACCCTATTTAATATTAAGTAAAGTGATTCATAAATCTCCAATTTAATCATGAGTTGAACTAGAAATGTAAAAACTGATAAAATAAATCTGAAATAAATATATTATATTTTTGTACAACAATTAGTGTTATGGACGCTATTACAAATACGAATTACTGAATAGTTACCTGTGTAAGACCTGTGTATTTAGATCCAATAATTTGGGTAAACAATGTTTAAAACTAAAATGTTTAAAATTATGTATGAGCAAGGAATTTTATATTGAGTGTGGAGAGCTTTCACAGCCAACCGTGGAATATTTCCCTCCTGCTCATCCACCACCACGCGTCGTTTATTTACGAGGTATAGTACTACCAAGTATGCAAGTTTGAATATTTTTAACTTTACTATAACTTGCATGCATATGAAGTTTGTGCAATACTTCTACATACTCTTTGTGGTACTTTGTTCAGCTTGCAAGCGAATAAAATCAATTGTTAAATTACCTAATCTAGATAATGATTTATAAAACGGTGGGCAAAGTACGATTTTGAATCTAATGATTTCGAAATGTAATGGTTACTGTCGAAAAAGTGTGAACGGTTCTGCATAAAACTTCTCATCGGTATATTCTGCAGAAAGGTTTAGCACAATTATGCATAATTCTACATATTTTGTGCACATATTGTTTCTGCATAAGTTTTTCTGCATAAAATCCAGCCAATTTTATGCATAAAATCCCTTAAATTTTTCACCCGGGATGTTTCGAACTGTTGTTCTTCGAGAACGAATAACTTTGTGAGGTGTGTATTTATATTGTAAGATAAATAAACCGTCATAAAAGTACAGAAGGACGTAACTTCAGACTCAACTCACCCCAACCACATCGTGGGAACACTTAATTTCGTCAATAGACTCAATTTCATTAGACATCTCATTTTGCCCCGACCATACCCCGTGACGTAGAGGGGGTGTGGTACAACTTCTGAGCACTTAATTTATCTATTTCATCCACAGCTTCAATTTCTGTGAAATTCCCATCTTACCCCTTATTTTGCCCATGTTTGAGAGTTGGTTGAAAGGTAAGAGTTGCCGACATCATTGGGAATAAATGGAATAGCTTGGATATTGCATAATCTTAGAAGGCAGTAAATATTTAACAACGACTCGAATTCAATCACGCACTCTTAATAATCCGGTAAAGTCACGCGGGTAATGAAATTTGGTAATAATATTTTACCGCGTAGTAAAAATTCCTTACCATGATAGTAAAACTTCTTTCCCAAGCCATTACCATACGGTACAACTTATCAGTACCACTTTGGTAGAGTCGTATACTTGTGCTTTTCGGTAAAGTTTATTACCAAATTATTTACAGTGCGGTTATATTCGGCCTCTTAGCGCAATGTAAAAATTCTATCGTCATTGAAATTGTTTTCTTTCGGTTGCTAACTACATAGTAATTGTCGTACATTGTTTTTATTTCATTTTACGCAATATAAAATTCCATGACAGAGGTCGAGCTCAAAAATTTTGAATAAAGCCCATTGCGTTACAGTTGTACCTTATTTATAAGCAGAGGGCGGATATGTATTTATAAATTCCGCAAAATATATATGTATGTAATATATGCGTAAGAAAGCATATATTTTTTTGCGATACTTTTTGTGATACTTTTAACTCACACATACTCTGCGAATACAACTTATACTATGATAAATAAAAACATTAATTGATATTCTTAAGAAGTGAAAATATCCACATAAAAATGTGTTTTGTCTTAAATTTTCTATTATATTTATGAAAATATAATTTTGCGGAAAGTTTAATTTCTGGACGAAGAAAAAAAATTTGACCTAACTAAAATATCTACATAAATATTTATATTTAGAAAAATGCACAGGATGTAAAGAAAGATTTGTTTACGTACGAAAAATCCGCAAAATATGTATGGAAATAATAATAATAATATGATTTATTGCCTGTTTAAGGCCAGTGGCTCATAAAGCACTTCTATTCTTTCAGGTCGAATCATTGTAACAGAAATTTGATTATCATGTAACTTCAAACATGGTACTGCTAAAAGGCTCTACTTTAGCAGAGTAATAATACAAACCACTTCATAGCAAATAACCTTTTCGAGCCGCCGTACCTGTCCTTAATTAACATGCAATGCAAACTATACAACAAAATTCTGTGTGACACGGTGTTCCAATCTGCTACAAATCTAACAAACGCTCTATATAACATGTGACAAAATGACATCATACCAGTAAAATAACAGAGTACAGTTACAAGATCTTAACATGTTATAACATTACAACGTAATATATTATAACACCGTAACCGGAGACGTGTGCTTTAATAATAACCAATGCAAAATTCCTCAGCGAAGAGTCGTGGTGGTGCGAAGTTGCTCATAATGTCAGTTAGTCACTCTTTGCAAGAATACACATCCGTGTTGTTCCTGTCGTAAACAACTGGAGACTAAATTAAGACGTTTGCATTTCCTGGGAAGGTACAAGTGGTCGTGCATAACGCATGTCATCAAGCATTGGTGACATTCGACCAAACCATTTGGTTGTTCTAATCTTCATTATAAAATCGTAGGAAATAAGTCATCCGAGGTACAAATCTCCTGAAATCCAGCACTTACTTTGTGCACGGTACCCATATGCGTCTCATAACCTCGTCTTTGTTCATGAAAATGTACGTACGAAAAGTAGCTTACATTTTGTAATTGATATAAATACAATACGCTATGCATATATTTCCTTAAAAGTAAATTAAAGTATGTAGTAGACGCGGAAGATAGTTTGAACCGTGGGGCATATTATTTATCGTGATTTTATATTTGATATTAAGCGCAAGATTTTATGAACCATAAATATTTACATAAAAGACGTTCGTTTTTACAATGTGACAAAAATATTGATTTAAATATCAATATAAATTCATTTAAACAACATAAATGAATAGCGATATGAAAAATTCTACAGGTTGTGTTGCGGAGAATGTAATACATGAAAAGAGAAATTGTTAGTCGAAGATAGATATTTAGAGTAGTGTAGGCCCTCTGTGGGCCATACGAGGAAATGAGTGAACGTGGCTGGTCTTTTCTAGAATTAATCCACCACGCGGAGTGTATATAGTAGCGTGTAGGCGAGTGACGAAGTAGTCGTGTCAGAGGAGGAGTCGAGTAAGCATCTCTGTGTAGCTAGTACTCAATCGTAATTTTACTAAGTTATTCAACGGGATAGTTAGTAAAGTAGTTTATATGTTTGTTCTTTGATTTGTTCTTGAAGTCTTGAATTCTTTGGGTCTAAATAAATCCACCATAGAAGCTGTCCAAGGTGTTCTTGTGTCTGTGACCTTATTTCCGTTGAATATTCAACGGGCATCTTGGGGCTAGGGATTTACCCGCTGAACAAAGGACCGTTAAGAAATAGTACTCTTGTTGAGGATAGTGAGGGTGCATCAGGAAGAAAGAGCTAGTGCGAGGAAAATATTAGATTTCGGCATCCCGTCCCCAACAGGTTGCATAACCCATCAGTCGCAACATCGTCATGCCATGTCCCTGTGTGTGACCAGACGGACGATGTGAACTAGGAATTTAATGTCACTCAGGTCTGACGAAATTCAGTGACCATGGAAATAGTCGTGAGGCCAGACTTACATACACGTGTTGATTTATTTAAAGGGTGGGTATATTAATGCATACTCTCTTCGGCCAATGTTCAAGTGGACGTTTGTTTGCATGTCACGCAATTATGCAAATATTTAAATAAGCGTGTCTTGTCCTAACTTAACGTGTCTGGAGGTTTGTTAAATTATTAACAAGAAATTAGTGATGAGTCGGGTTCCGGGTCACCCCGGAAAAAACCCGACCCGCCCGTAACCCGATTGGTTTCGGGCGGGTCGGGTCATATAGCAAAGCGGGTCGGGTTTTTATTTATCTGAATAATTCGGGTTTCGGGCGGGTCGGGTTTTCACTCTCCAAAAAAATCGGGTTTCGGGCGGGTCGGTTGATGAATGATGCTTTGGCGCATTCGAGGGTCGCCGTGGTGGGGTCTCCATCAGTCTCGGAGTGGAGGAACAGTGTCGCACCACCAATACATTGAAAACGCCCACTGATCTTGATGAATTGGATTTCACATACCACGTTTTCAATTACTTTCTGGATCCTTAAGTGGGTTGCATCGAGTTGCACTTCTAGCAATGCTGCGTTAGTCATTTCGTACCTGATCGCTCCATCCGTGGTAAGTAGGACTCCGGTTTGTAGTTTTAGTGGAAGTTGTTTCGCTTTCAGTATTGCCTCAGGGTCGATGAGTCTTGATTCGCACCGAATCCCATTAGCATCCACTTGTGATCTTACAAGGGTTAAACTACCCAAGCAAGTACGTGCAATGTGTTGAGCTTCTGATTCAGTATTGCATTGGATCTCTCCGATCCGATTGGCCGTGATTTCACCACGTTGATTGCAGGGGCACAGTGCCATTTTGCGTCCATTTTGCGTCCATTATGGTGTCGTTAGGTCCAAAATCCGCGAAGGTTCCGTATGTGCATGAATTCTCTGGTAGGATGTTGAAACATTGCCGGCTTGAGTCACTTGACCGATGGTCGTGGCACATAATACAAGAGTTCCTCTTTGCACCGGAGTACGATGGATTGGGTTTTGATTGATATAGTTCCGAGTGTTTCTAGTCTCGAATCTTTGATGTGGAGACATGATTCTTGGCCCAGAGGTGATACAACGAGTCGTGTATTCAGTCGTATTTGACATGCTCGTTCTTGGTCATGCGTGTACTGGCATTCTGTGGACGCGGCGCTCATCATTGAGTAGTCAGAGCACGCATTTGACAGGGCGACAAGTGGTACCATGATGCAGGTAGCGATACTGAGGAGGTGTAAAAGGCGGTTCTTAGATCGTCGTACTCCCCGCGATGATGGCGCGTAGGGGTTGGGTGGTAGATCGATCAAGGGGGTCCCACTTTCTTCATCAATGTCCTGCATTGTCCTTGGTATTTTTGATGCCTTTGCTCTCCGGTATCGAATGAGTGTCCGGATACAAAGTCGCAACGGGAGTGAGACATACCACGAGATACTCATCGTGGTTGGGACCATGTAGATTCCTGTGAGGATGATACCGGCTATGATGATGCCTAGTAGGGATAAGATGATCCAATGGGTTGTGTTGTAACATGAGAAGTTGATCCAAAATTGCCAGCAAACACGGCAGGTGATTAGCTCACACACTGGGACCCGAGGACACGTTAGTTTCCTCAGGGTTGGAGTATCCATGTCCTGGAACCATATTTGTACATTAATGTCCCCTGCTGAGGATAGCATTTGATTGGAGAGGCGAATGTCCGTTGTTGTCGTAGTGGGGGTGATTCCCAAATGGCCAGGATTCTTTAGTACACGAATGTATTTACTCACTCGTCCAGGAGTGTAGATTTGTAACCCGAGTGGTATACAATCAATCGTGCATTTCTCACATAAGAATTCAG